TGTGTCAGGTATAACACACCTACTGTACAATGAGTATTCTGCTATTTGTTTTATCTGTGTTTGTGTATTAGGAGGATATTCTGGGAACACATTATTGTGATCAAAGTATGTGTCTCTGTGCATGTTGTCTTGAAGGACTCATACTGTATATTAGAAAACAAATTGTGTCTTCAATGTAGTCTTTTACAGCATAATCAAAAGCATACAAATAAACCAATTTAGTATTCATAAAAATCAGTGACTATAAAAGTTTTTTTTTGCAATCAAATGATGTATCCTTGTTCTGCTTCTTCATGTTTGTCGATGGATACCTCATATTTAAAAAGTAACAAGACATATTTTGTCTCTTGGTCCGCGTCTCTTTTCTGAATCAATCTATGTTTTCTAACTCAACACTAATGACATGAAACCCTTCAGGTTTTTCAGGTACATACTGACTTTAACTGAATAACTTTATTGTTAAGCAGCTGCAAAACTTGTAGAATCTGGAACGGGATTTCTTGAATTTAAACATGTTGTAAGATGGACAACCCAAATGTGCCCAAATGTTTATCCTGAGTAAAGTTATTATCAAGGATGGATGTAGTTTAGACCGATATGACGAGTGGTTTGTGTGGATAAAAAAAAGAAGAAGGAAACTTATGAATATATAAAGAAACTATAATGCTTTCAATTTCAGTTGGGAATGTGCCGTGTCCGTAGAATGAGTTCTGGATTGGGGACCAAATGAATACGTGGCAGAGAATAACTCCCCAAAAATTCACGTATTACTTATCCATGTTAAGTTTTTTTAACCTGGTAGGAATGAATGGGCTTTGGTTAAATGCCATACAGTAGTCAAAGTAGGTAAAAGGGAAAGTCAAGAATAATTTTCAATCAAATACAAAAATACTTTGAAGGTAACACACTTAATACTGTGTATCAACATGCTTACAGGCCTGACCATTCGACATGCACCGCTTTAACACAAATGACAGATGACTGGAAGGGTGAACTGGATAATAGGAAGTTAGTGGGTGCAGTACTACTTGATTTTAGTTCTGCTTTTGATGTCATTGACCATTCTTTGTTGTTACACAAGCTGGAACAATATGGTTTTAATTTTGAAACGCTGAGGTGGTTAGAAAGTTACCTGACAAATCGAAGTCAAACTGTTTTTTTTAATGGAAGTCTCTCAAAAATGAAAACAGTCACTTGTGGAGTACCTCAACTCTACACTAATGACATTAAACCCTTCAGGTTTTTCAGGTACATACTGACTTTAACTGAATAACTTTATTGTGAAGCGGCTGCAACAAATCTACATGCTTTAAATTTCAGTCGGGAATGTGGTGTGTCAATTATTGCCCTTGGTCGGAATAAATGGACTTTGGTTAAATGCTAAAGTCAAAGTAGGTAAATGGGAAAGTAAAGAGAGAAGGACCATGGCCTTGTTTGCTGCTTGTTAGCCTGCTTATCATGTTGTCAGAACTAATTATTAAGCTTCAGGAAATGCTATGATGGCTATGCACAACTTTTGAATTGACTTTTTTTGTGCTTTATTTGGACCAAAGTGAATGTCAAAGGCTGATGTGACATTCACAATCTTATCAAATATGTTGACATTTTATAATAAAAAACTAAAATAAAAAACGGCTTGTAAATGAACTGTTTATGTCTGGCTCTTGATGTGATTTTATTTTCTCAGTGTGTCCCTTAGCAAATTGAGTTTAACACTCAATGAAAAAAATATTGAAATTTAGAAAGAAATCCCAAATTACAGTGAAGAGAGAAATCATGAAATGATTATTTGTGTATTTAATTTGGACCTTGTTTTAATGACGTTAGGTTAATTTTATTAATTTCTTTAACATCCCATACATATTTTAACATTTAATTAATCACAAGTTATTTCATAGAAATTACATTATAATAATTGAGCTTTAAATTAATTAACTAACTAATAGACAGCACAAAACAGTAAACATTAGAAATACAGTGTGTCAGGTATAACACACCTACTGTACAATGAGTATTCTGCTATTTGTTTTATCTGTGTTTGTGTATTAGGAGGATATTCTGGGAACACATTATTGTGATCAAAGTGTGTGTCTCTGTGCATGTTGTCTTGAAGGAGTCTACTGTATATTATAAAACAAATTGTGTCTTCAATGTAGTCTTTTACAGCATAATCAAAAGCATACAAATAAACCAATTTAGTATTCATAAAGATCAGTGACTATAAAAGGTTTTTTTTGCAATCAAATGATGTATCCTTGTTCTGCTTCTTCATGTTTGTCGATGGATACCTCATATTTAAAAAGTAACAAGACATATTTTGTCTCTTGGTCCGCTTCTCTTTTCTGAATCAATCTATGTTTTCTAACTCAACACTAATGACATTAAACCCTTCAGGTTTTTCAGGTACATACTGACTTTAACTGAATAACTTTATTGTTAAGCAGCTGCAAAACTTGTAGAATCTGGAACGGGATTTCTTGAATTTAAACATGTTGTAAGATGGACAACCCAAATGTGCCCAAATGTTTATCCTGAGTAAAGTTATCATCAAGGATGGATGTAGTTTAGACCGATATGACGAGTGGTTTGTGTGGATAAAAAAAAGAAGAAGGAAACTTATGAATATATAAAGAAACTATAATGCTTTCAATTTCAGTTGGGAATGTGCCGTGTCCGTAGAATGAGTTCTGGATTGGGGACCAAATGAATACGTGGCAGAGAATAACTCCCCAAAAATTCACGTATTACTTATCCATGTTAAGTTTTTTTAACCTGGTAGGAATGAATGGGCTTTGGTTAAATGCCATACAGTAGTCAAAGTAGGTAAAAGGGAAAGTCAAGAATAATTTTCAATCAAATACAAAAATACTTTGAAGGTAACACACTTAATACTGTGTATCAACATGCTTACAGGCCTGACCATTCGACATGCACCGCTTTAACACAAATGACAGATGACTGGAAGGGCGAACTGGATAATAGGAAGTTAGTGGGTGCAGTACTACTTGATTTTAGTTCTGCTTTTGATGTCATTGACCATTCTTTGTTGTTACACAAGCTGGAACAATATGGTTTTAATTTTGAAACGCTGAGGTGGTTAGAAAGTTACCTGACAAATCGAAGTCAAACTGTTTTTTTTAATGGAAGTCTCTCAAAGATGAAAACAGTCACTTGTGGAGTACCTCAGGGTAGTTGTTTGGGACCACTTTTATTTTCTATTTTTACAAATGACCTACCATTAGTGTTAGAAAAAGCTAAAATTGTAATGTATGCAGATGACTCAACAATATATTATGCAGCATCAACTACAAGAGAGTTGACAAATGTTATGAATAAAGATCTACTACTGATATCAGAGTGGGTCATAAATAATAAGTTGGTACTTAATGCGGGAAAAACAAAATCTTTATTAATAGGATCAAATCATCAGTTAAAAGGTGAACCACAATTGCAACTACATTTAAACCATATTCAAATTGAACAGGTCAAGGAGACAAAATTGCTAGGTATAACCCTGGATCATAAATTATCTTGGTCTAAACAAATTGATAATGTTGTATGTAAATTGGGAAGGGGTGTGTCACTTGTAAAAATAATTGTAAAATATTTGCCAATGGATGTCAGTAGACAAGTTTTGGATGCTTTGGTTCTGTCGTAGCTTGATTATTGTTTGGTTATATGGTCTAGTGCTGCAGAAAAAGATTTAAACAAACTACAAGTAGCACAAAATAAGGCAGCACGATGTGCACTGCAGTGCTCCTACAGAACCAGAGTCACTCAACATGCTGGAGACACTGAAATGGTTAACTGTCAGACAGAGGTCAACTTATTTTTTGTTAAATTTTGTCAGAAATATTACAGTGACTCACTCACCACATATATTATCACAAAGGTTTATAGCGCAATATGCTCAACATAACTATCAAACACGACATACAATAGAAGGAAGGTTTGTATTACCCAAATCTAAATCAAATATGTGACAGAAAACAGTCATGTACAGAGCCATTGTCAGCTGGAACTCTTTACCAGTCCACATCATTCAGGAAAATTCTCAAGCACATTTCAAAAGGTTGCTAAAAAATTATTTAAGTATTATAAAGTACAATTGAACTGTGTCTGTGGCTATGTATGCATATATTATTATGTACACTTATTTGTATTTACTTTTGTTTGGCCTTAGGATGGCGATAATTGGATGACCATTTTGGTTTTCACTTCATACAGCACTGTAAATTGCATGAAATTATGAACTATTTTGTTTTAATTTTGTTGTATATATGTTTATGTATGTTTTGTGTGTGTGAGGACCCCAGGAAGAATAGCCAATGCTCATGCTAGTGCTAATGGTGATCCTAATAAAGACATAACAAAAAAAAAGAGAGAAGGACCACGGCCTTGTTTGCTGCTTGTTAGCCTGCTTGTATCATGTTGTCAGAACTAATTATTAAGCTTCAGGAAATGCTATGATGGCTATTCACAACTTTTGAATTGACTTTTTTGTGCTTTATTTGGACCAGGGCAAATGTCAAAGGCTGATGTGTCATTAACAATATTATCAAATATGTTGACATTTTTAAATACAAAAATAAAACGGCTTTTAAATGAACTGTTTATGTCTGGCTCTTGATGTGATTATATTTTCTCAGTGTGTCCCTTAGTACATTGAGTTTAACACTCCTGCTCCGCAGGCTTCGACTAGATAGCTGCATTGGATATTCCTGTCAGTAGACTTCCTAAGTGCAAGAAGTTCATTGGACTAAAGATGTATTTTGTTCTGGTGCTTGCGTACAAGAGACTCAAGGGAACAGACCTTCCATTTGACATAAACAATGTTAGGGATTGCAAAATAGCTGACGCTCGTTAAAGCTTCATCGTCGGAAAGAGAGCTGAGAGAAGAGCTCACCTCTGTCCAACAGAACACAGTGCTAACGCACAGTTCTGTTCTCTGCATTAAAGACTGTGCTTCGGACAGCGTAGGATTGAGAGGTTTTTTCGTAATGGACTTCTTCAACTCAGCTCTTGGAAAAAACATCACTTTTGTGCTTCCTGAATATTTCATAATAAGTGGATTTATTGAAATTCCTAATATCAATTATTACTATGTATTCCTCTTTTTTGTTTACATTGTTTCAGTGTTGGGAAACACAGCTGTGATGGCCATAATATACTTGGACCATAGGCTGAGAACTCCAAAATATATTGTAGTTTTTAATTTAGCATTTGTGTTACGCTTCCCGAGAAGTGACTGAAGAAAAGAACCCGCTACGCAGACACTTAGACGGAAACAGTGGTGAAGTGTCAAATAATAGTCTTTATTTGACCACGGCACAGGCAAGGTGTAGAGAGGAGCTCAGAGCTGGCGAATGTAGTCAGGATGTGCTGGTGTGCGTGGAGGCACGGAGGAAACACCGGCGTGGAGAGCCGGAGATCCAGAGCTGGCGAATGTAGTCAGGATGAGCTGGTGTGCGTGGAGGCACGGAGGAAACACCGGCGTGGAGAGCCGGAGATCCAGAGCTGGTGAATGTAGTCAGGATGAGCTGGTGTGCGTGGAGGCATGGAGGGAACTCAGACGAGGAGTCGGAGGCTGGACGTGGCAAGCAGAGCGGCAGGTGTGTGTGGATCTGGAACAGGAAAGATGCAGGTTTAGGAAAGAATAACTTCTCACTATGAGCATCAAAAAGGTTTACTAGAATTTAATGCTAGTAGGCCTGGAACGATAGTTTACCACTGAAGAATAAACGAAGAACTGGCGAAGTCTGAGGATGGGAACCAGGGTTTTAAGCAGGTGCAGGTGAGTAGTGGCAATCAGTGAGATGAACAACAGCAGTGGAGATGAGTTGGCGGGAATCAGAATGTAGGTCAGCCACGCCCAGCCAGGAAGACAAACAAACATAGAAGTGGAAAAGAAGGAGGAAGTACTGCAGATCCTCACAATTTGTGGACCTGTGTGGTAGCTCTGCTTTGGTGCCAAAGGTTCTTGATATCTTTCTGTTTAACCATCAGTACATCCCCTACGCTGACTGCTTGGCATTTATTTTTTTCTGCTACACGTGCCTTTCAATGCAGGTTCTTAATCTAGTTGCACTCTCGTATGACAGACTGATAGCTTTCATCTACCCACTGCACTACCAAGTGAAGGTGACCCACAGGTTCATGCTGTCTTTGATTGCCTGTTTCTGGGTCTTTGTTATTACTGTTATACTTATTGCCGTCGGCCTTCTAACAAGACTTTCCTTCCGTAAGTCTGTGGTTATTAACAGCTATTTCTGTGACCACGGCCAGATATATCGGATGGCCTGCAATGACTATAAACCTACTGATCACTTTAGTTGGTTTTTAGTAGTTCTAATTCTTTGGCTTCCACTCACATTTATTTTGTTTACTTATTCATGTATCGGCTATGCATTGTCTAAAGTTGCCACAGTTCATAAAAGAGTGAAGGCCTTTAAAACCTGCACAGCTCATCTTTCGTTGGTGGTAATCTAATTCGTCCCAATATTAGTCACATTTACTTTGGGTTCACAAATACCTCCAAATGCCAGGATTCTAAACCTTCTTGAATTTAAACATTTTGTAAGATGAACAACCCAAATGTCCCCAAATGTTTATCCTGAGTAAAGTTATCATCAAGGATGGATGTAGTTTAGACCGATATGACGAGTGGTTTGTGTGGATTTAAAAAAATAAAAAAACGTATGAATATATAAAGAAACTATAATGCTTTCAATTTCAGTCGGGAATGTGGCGTGTCCGTAGAAGGAGTTCTAGATTGGGGACCAAATGAATACGTGGCAGTAAATAATTCCCCAGAAATTCACGTATTACTTATCCATGTTAATTTTGTTTTTTAATGAATGTCCTTGGTAGGAATAAATGGACTTTGGTTAAATTCAAAAGTCAGAGTCGCTAAATCGGAAAGTAAAGAGAGAAAGACCATGGCCTTGTCTGCTGCTGTTAGCCTGCTTGTATCATGTTGTCAGAACTAATTATTAAAGGGCACATGTCATGGCCATTTCCACTGATCATAATTCCATTGTTGAGGTCTACTAGAATAGATTTATATTGTGCAATTTTCCAAACTCACATTGGTTTCTCATACAGCATCTCTGTAAACTACGTGTATTCACTGAATTTCACTCTCTGCCTTTAACGGCTCGTTGTAGCTCCAATAGCTCCAGCCCCCACCCTCCCTGTGAGCACAGTGTGCTCCGATTGGTCGGGACGTTGTGAATCGCGCTGAGCTCCGTGGAGGTGTTGTTTCCTTGTTAGCGATACACAGCCAAACACAGCCAAACTCATCCTGACACACAAAGTCACAGCCGAAGTAAAAACAATAAGTGTGGCTTGATATTGAGTAAGAAAAAGGTTGATAAACGCTGTGAGAATGGGTCTGCAGAGAGAATTTTGCCACGATCCCAACTGTCTGTTATCAGCCTGCAGCCAGGGAGGAGAAATCAGCAGAGCTCCCTGCTCCCTGCACACAGATGCGTGTGTGAGGAAGTCCGTGGATTGGTCAATTTGGACCAATCAGCGGGGGCTTAACGTAACGGCTCCGCGGACGTAACGTAACGGCTCCACGGATTGGTCCACTTCGTTCCGGGTACGGCTTGACATCATGCCGTACCCGGAACGAAATGGAAGAATCAAATGGACAATGACGTATCTCCAACGAGGCGTTTTGGGGAGGTATTTTTTGTGTTAGAGTTTTACTCGCTACAGGGTGTACTTTGAGGGTTTGTGACTCTGCACACCGTTTACATGCATACAAACCTTCATAACACACAAGGGGACGGGTAATAACCGGAAAAGCATGACATGGGCCCTTTAAGCTTCAGGAAATGCTATGATGGCTATGCACAACTTTTGAATTGACTTTTTTTGTGCTTTATTTGGACCGAAGTGAATGTCAAAGGCTGATGTGACATTTACAATATTATCAAATATGTTGACATTTTTAAATACAAAAATAAAACGGCTTTTAAATCAACTGTTTATTTCTGGCTCTTGATGTGATTTTATTTTCTCAGTGTGTCCCTTAGCAAATTGAGTTTAACACTCCTGCTCCGCAGGCTTCGACTAGATAGCTGCATTGGATATTCCTGTCAGTAGATTTCCTAAGTGCAGGAAGTTCATTGGACTAAAGATGTATTTTTTTCTGGTGCTTGCGTACAAGAGACTCAAGGGAACAGACCTTCCATTTGACACAAACAATGTTAGGGATTGCAAAATAGCTAACGCTCGTTAAAGCTTCATCGTCGAAGAGAGAGCGAGAGAGAAGAGCTCACCTCTGTCCAACAGAACACAGTGCTGACGCACAGTTCTGTTCTCTGCATTAAAGACTGTGCTTCAGACAGCGTAGGTTTGAGAGGTTTTTCATAATGGACTTCTTCAACTCAGCTCTTGGAAAAAACATCACTTTTGTGCGTCCTGAATATTTCATAATAAGTGGATTTATTGGAATTCCTAATATCAATTATTACTATGTATTCCTCTTTTTTGTTTACATTGTTTCAGTGTTGGGAAACACAGCGGTGATGGCCATAATATACTTGGACCATAGGCTGAGAACTCCAAAATATATTGTAGTTTTTAATTTAGCATTTGTGGACCTGTGTGGTAGCTCTGCTTTGGTGCCAAAGGTTCTTGATATCTTTCTGTTTAACCATCAGTACATCCCCTACGCTGACTGCTTGGCATTTCTTTTTTTCTGCTACACGTGCCTTTCAATGCAGGTTCTTAATCTAGTTGCACTCTCGTATGACAGACTGATAGCTATCATCTACCCACTGCACTACCAAGTGAAGGTGACCCACAGGTTCATGCTGTCTTTGATTGCCTGTTTCTGGGTCTTTGTTATTACTGTTATACTTATTGCAGTGGGCCTTCTAACAAGACTTTCCTTCTGTAAGTCTGTGGTTATTAACAGCTATTTCTGTGACCACGGCCAGATACATCGGATGGCCTGCAATGACAATAAACCTAACAGCATCATTAGTGTGTTTTTAATATTTCTAATTCTTTGGCTTCCACTCACATTTATTCTGTTTAGTTATTCATGTATCGGCTATGCATTGTCTAAAGTTGCCACAGTTCATGAAAGAGTGAAGGCCTTCAAAACCTGCACAGCTCATCTTTCGTTAGTGATTATTTATTTCATTCCAATATTAGTCACATTTACTTTGGGTTCAAAAATATCTCCGAATGCCAGGATTCTAAACCTGTCTCTGACCTCTGTCTTTCCTCCAATGCTGAACCCAATCATTTATGTTTTGCAGACGCAAGAAATCAAAGAATCTATGAAAAAAATATTGAAATTTAGAAATAAATCCCAAATTACAGTGAAGAGAGAAATCATGAAATGATTATTTGTGTAGTTAATTTGGACATTGTTTTAATGCCATCAGCTTAACTTTGATTTTTTTTGTTAACATCTGCACACATTTGAACATTTAATTCAACACAAGTTATTCCATAAAAAATCAATTATAATAATTGAGCTTTAAATACATAAACTAACTAATAGACAGCACACAACAGTAAACATCAGAAATACAGTGTGTCAGGTATAACACACCTACAATGAGAGTGTTCTGCTATTTGTTTGATCTGTGCTTGTGTATAAGGAAGATATTCTGGGAACACATTATTGTGATCAAAGTGTGTGTCTCTGTGCATGTTGTCTTGAAGGACTCTACTGTATATTAGAAAACTAATTGTGTCTTCAATTTAGTCTTTTACAGCATAATCAAAAGCATACAAATAAACTGATTTAAAATTTATAAAAATCAGTGACTATAAAATATTTGTTTTGCAATCAAATGATGTATCCTTGTTCTGCTTCTTCATGTTTGTAGATGGATACCTCATATTTAAAAAGTAACAAGACATATTTTGTCTCTTGGTCCGCTTCTCTTTTCTGAATCAATCTGTGTTTTCTAACTCTACACTAATGACATTAAACCCTTCAGGTTTTTCAGGTACATACTGACTTTAACGGAATAACTTTATTGTGAAGCGGCTGCAACAAATCTACATGCTTTAAATTTCAGTGGGGAATGTGGTGTGTCAATTAATGCCCTTGGTCGGAATAAATGGACTTTGGTTAAATGCTAAAGTCAAAGTAGGTAAATGGGAAAGTAAAGAGAGAAGGACCATGGCCTTGTTTGCTGCTTGTTAGTCTGCTTATCATGTTGTCAGAACTAATTATTAAGCTTCAGGAAATGCTATGATGGCTATGCACAACTTTTGAATTGACTTTTTTTGTGCTTTATTTGGACCAAAGTGAATGTCAAAGGCTGATGTGACATTCACAATCTTATCAAATATGTTGACATTTTATAATAAAAAACTAAAATAAAAAACGGCTTGTAAATGAACTGTTTATGTCTGGCTCTTGATGTGATTTTATTTTCTCAGTGTGTCCCTTAGCAAATTGAGTTTAACACTCCTGCTCCGCAGGCTTCGACTAGATAGCTGCATTGGATATTTCTGTCAGTAGACTTCCTAAGTGCAAGAAGTTCATTGGACTAAAGATGTATTTTTTTCTGGTGCTTGCGTACAAGAGACTCAAGGGAACAGACCTTCCATTTGACACAAACAATGTTAGGGATTGCAAAATAGCTAACGCTCATCAGAGCTTCATCGTCTGAAAGAGAGCTGAGAGAAGAGCTCACCTCTGTCCAACAGAACACAGTGCTGACGCACAGTTCTGTTCTCTGCATTAAAGACTGTGCTTCGGACAGCGTAGGTTTGAGAGGTTTTTCATAATGGACTTCTTCAACTCAGCTCTTGGAAAAAACATCACTTTTGTGCGTCCTGAATATTTCATAATAAGTGGCTTTATTGGAATTCCTAATATCAATTATTACTATGTATTCCTCTTTTTTGTTTACATTGTTTCAGTGTTGGGAAACACCGCTGTGATGGCCATAATATACTTGGACCATAATCTGAGAACTCCAAAATATATTGTAGTTTTTAATTTAGCATTTGTGGACCTGTGTGGTAGCTCTGCTTTGGTGCCAAAGGTTCTTGATATCTTTCTGTTTAACCATCAGTACATCCCCTACGCTGACTGCTTGGCATTTCTTTTTTTCTGCTACACGTGCCTTTCAATGCAGGTTCTTAATCTAGTTGGACTCTCGTATGACAGACTGATAGCTATCATCTACCCACTGCACTACCAAGTGAAGGTGACCCACAGGTTCATGCTGTCTTTGATTGCCTGTTTCTGGGTCTTTGTTATTACTGTTGATCTTATTGTCGTCGGCCTTCTAACAAGACTTTCCTTCTGTAAGTCTGTGGTTATTAACAGCTATTTCTGTGACCACGGCCAGATATATCGGATGGCCTGCAATGACTATAAACCTACTGATTACTTTAGTTGGTTTTTAGTAGTTCTAATTTTTTGGCTTCCATTCACATTTATTCTGTTTACTTATTCATGTATCGGCTATGCATTGTCTAAAGTTGCCACAGTTCATGAAAGAGTGAAGGCCTTTAAAACCTGCACAGCTCATCTTTCGTTGGTGGTAATCTATTTCGTCCCAATATTAGTCACATTTACTTTGGGTTCACAAATACCTCCAAATGCCAGGATCCTAAACCTGTCTCTGACCTCTGTCTTTCCTCCAATGCTGAACCCAATCATTTATGTTTTGCAGACGCAAGAAATCAAAGAATCTATGAAAAAAATATTGAAATTTAGAAAGAAATCCCAAATTACAGTGAAGAGAGAAATCATGAAATGATTATTTGTGTATTTAATTTGGACCTTGTTTTAATGCCGTTAGGTTAATTTAATTAATTTCTTTAACATCCCATACATATTTTAACATTTAATTAATCACAAGTTATTTCATAGAAATTACATTATAATAATTGAGCTTTAAATTAATTAACTAACTAATAGACAGCACAAAACAGTAAACATTAGAAATACAGTGTGTCAGGTATAACACACCTACTGTACAATGAGTATTCTGCTATTTGTTTTATCTGTGTTTGTGTATTAGGAGGATATTCTGGGAACACATTATTGTGATCAAAGTGTGTGTCTCTGTGCATGTTGTCTTGAAGGAGTCTACTGTATATTAGAAAACAAATTGTGTCTTCAATGTAGTCTTTTACAGCATAATCAAAAGCATACAAATAAACCAATTTAGTATTCATAAAAATCAGTGACTATAAAATATTTGTTTTGCAATCAAATGATGTATCCTTGTTCTGCTTCTTCATGTTTCTAGATGGATACCTCATATTTAAAAAGTAACAAGACATATTTTGTCTCTTGGTCCGCTTCTCTTTTCTGAATCAATCTGTGTTTTCTAACTCTACACTAATGACATTAAACCCTTCAGGTTTTTCAGGTACATACTGACTTTAACTGAATAACTTTATTGTGAAGCGGCTGCAACAAATCTACATGCTTTAAATTTCAGTGGGGAATGTGGTGTGTCAATTAATGCCCTTGGTCGGAATAAATGGACTTTGGTTAAATGCTAAAGTCAAAGTAGGTAAATGGGAAAGTAAAGAGAGAAGGACCATGGCCTTGTTTGCTGCTTGTTAGCCTGCTTATCATGTTGTCAGAACTAATTATTAAGCTTCAGGAAATGCTATGATGGCTATGCACAACTTTTGAATTGACTTTTTTTGTGCTTTATTTGGACCAAAGTGAATGTCAAAGGCTGATGTGACATTCACAATCTTATCAAATATGTTGACATTTTATAATAAAAAACTAAAATAAAAAACGGCTTGTAAATGAACTGTTTATGTCTGGCTCTTGATGTGATTTTATTTTCTCAGTGTGTCCCTTAGCAAATTGAGTTTAACACTCCTGCTCCGCAGGCTTCGACTAGATAGCTGCATTGGATATTTCTGTCAGTAGACTTCCTAAGTGCAAGAAGTTCATTGGACTAAAGATGTATTTTTTTCTGGTGCTTGCGTACAAGAGACTCAAGGGAACAGACCTTCCATTTGACACAAACAATGTTAGGGATTGCAAAATAGCTAACGCTCATCAGAGCTTCATCGTCTGAAAGAGAGCAGAGAGAAGAGCTCACCTCTGTCCAACAGAACACAGTGCTGACGCACAGTTCTGTTCTCTGCATTAAAGACTGTGCTTCGGACAGCGTAGGTTTGAGAGGTTTTTCATAATGGACTTCTTCAACTCAGCTCTTGGAAAAAACATCACTTTTGTGCGTCCTGAATATTTCATAATAAGTGGATTTATTGGAATTCCTAATATCTACTGGAGCAGTGGTTCTCAACCTGTGGTACGCGTACCACTGGTGGTACGCCAGCTCCCGCTAGTGGTACGCGGAGGAATCTGACATATACAACAACAACAAAAATGAAAATAAATTGTTTTCTTTTTTTTTTAAATGTTATTTAACCAGATGAAAACATTGAGACAAAATCTCATTTACAATGCTGACCTGGCCAAGAAGGCAGCAACGTTACACGTTCTTACACATAACACAGACATATAAAATACAGAAAACACAACTAAGTAAACAAAAAGACAAAAAGTAGCCACTACATTGTGCTCATTTGGGACAGTAAGGTACACGAAAGTGAACAAGTGAATGAGGAGGAGGACAGTCATCAACCGAGCACAAGCGCAGGCTCCGCCAGCAACGCAAAAGTGATATGCACAGCCACAACGCTGTGATGGAGGAGAGAAGTGACTCAGAAAGAAGGCATTTGCGCAAAGAATGGAGAGAAGGCTGTGACCGAGGTCAAAAGCTGAAAAAGCACACACTTGTCCTTAATTGTTATCTTTTTTCTTTTCTTTTTTACTTTGCCACCACAGAAATGGCAATAGCAAACATCAGCAGACTGAAGATGAGCTATTAGCCCTTAGGCTCATCTGCTCCTGGAGGCTTTCATTATTATTGTGGAACTGAATTCCCAAGAGGACATTTTCTGTTACAATGTAGGTTGTTGCAGGAGGCCTACATTCAAACTTTGGTATAGGAAATGACATGTATGTACAGTTGTCATTTGTTGTGTGAGAATAAGTTATTATTTTGTTCTTTATATTCTCGCTTGTCGTGTGTGTGTGAGTGATGAGTGAGAGAGAGAGAGAGAGACTGCCCTTTGTACATGTAGCTGTGGCTGACAATAAATAATGTTATTATGAATAAATTTGCCTCCGAGTCCTGCATGAACTGTGCATAGACTGTACTTTAACATCGGTCATATGGTGGTACTTGGAGAGCCAACTATTTTCTCAGGTGGTACTTGGTGTAAAAAGGTTGAGAACTACTGTACTAGAGCAGTGGTACCCAACCTGGGGGATCGCAGGGGGGGGGGCGCCAGGCCTCGGATGATTTGAGGCCAAATATCATATTTAGACTTATTTTTTTTTTTACATATAATTGTAACGCAATACATGATTGTCACTAAAAGCCTTGTCTCTACATTACAATAAAATATAAAAAATAATTGATTAATTAATTTGAATAAAAATTCAAGTTAGTACAGATGGAGCATCTTATTTCAGACAGTTTGAAACGCGAGGGTCGTTATTGGCTCGTGCACGGTCCGTGATCGGCCCGTGATCGGTTCGTGATGAAGAGCCGGCCCCCAGTCTGACTTGATACCGCCCCCGTGATAAATAAATTTAATTATTGTGAAGCCAGCTGCAATGGATCATTGATCCACCAGGGGGTGCAGTGGGGTTCCACACTGGAGCTCATGTGAAATCAACTTCGATACAGTAAGCTGGATGTACAGTATGTCTGGTACTAATGTATAGCGGATCTTTGTTAAGATCCATATGTCACGGATAGGATCATAGTCTGTGCTAAATAAGACATGTAATCATTTACAAAACATCACCATGTTGTTATTTAAAAAAATAATGTTGTTTAGTCGAAAAAAACGAAGGAGAGGAAATGCAGCCGGCTCTCCCGATTTTTAATCCTAATTTAATCATCTTCACCACGATGATTTATGTTTATGTTCGCCGAATTGACATGAAATCACTGACAAATATGAATATTCTGTATTCAACTTCATTAAAACGATCAGGATCCCTGGGTGTTATTTTTCCCCACAATGAGAAATAGTCAGAAAAGCAGAAAAAGAACACTCAAACCGAGAGATGAGTTATTATTACAACGTGACTTCACTATTATTTAACAACTGTTTTTATTGGGTTCTTTTATTTGGGGTTAAGTATAGGTGAATTGCACTAATGTGGGAAAGATCGTGATGTCTCCTCCGATCTGCTTTATGATCTTCTTTCTCCCGCTGTGTAGATTGGGGGACCGCCGTCCTCTGTCTTCAATGTTCGACATCGCGTGAAACAGAGGATTTCGACATTCTGTATTCCTTGCTTACTTCCTTAAACCTTTTCTCCTCCTTATCTCTTTCATTACTTTTTATTTAATGCTTTATAACAGCTGTAATAGTTCGTTTAGAAATCCTAGAAACACTTTTACGGCAGCTCTCATTTACGGTAACTCCTTCTGACGTCATAGCTACCCACGTATAATATATAAACAAAGTCTTGGCTTTCAGAATATGAAACTTTTATTTCCAAAATCACACGATAAATACATTTGTGACGCTTGTAAAGGGAAGATGACAGGCACCTCTCACTCGCAATCTGCTCCTCCGCAGCGCCGCCCACCTCCCTCCGGCTGAAATTATGAATGTACAGTAAGGCATAGTAATCATAGATAACACGGCAGGGTTCGTTACAGTTTGTTTTCATCTGATTTCAAATAAACAAAGTCTTGGCTTTCAGAATATTAAACTTGTTTCTGCAAATTTAGATGATAAACACAACTACATGTATGAAGCTTGTAACGGCATAATTACAAGCGGAGAACGGAGTAATTTAACGTTACAGCAGGCATAACAACAGCCGGTGTTTATTTTATTATTATATATAGTCGTTATTCATTTGTTTTAAAGCTCAATAAGGAAGATTTAAACTTTCACACACGTTGACCGGCGAAAATCTTTGCCCGGTTCCCTCGGCCCCCACCACGTTGAATAAACAGAAGGCTGCTTGTGTGGAGGAAGTTACAGCGCTACGTACAGGCTCGGCATATGTACTGCAGATTTTTCCAGCAGTATCCATAAATCTCTTAATTTTGACCTCAAAGTGCACCAGATTCAATATAAAGAAAAACATCTTCTGTTGTAACAACAATAACATTATAAATAGTAACATAGCTGAACATGGTATTGCACATTTAGCTTTCAGTGTTACTGACCTGAGATGTTTTTATTACATGAATTAAGGTGACTGAGGCTTTTTAACATAGACTTTTCAGTGTCCCACATACCCACATACCATTCACCATCCCCCACCCCCCTACTGTATGTTGATTTTTGACTTTGTGTGCCTACATGTAAATGGGTGGCATTTAGTACCTACCCCCCTCTGAGTGAATACCTGTTGTACCTGTCTGGGGCTAAGCCCATAGGACGATGCTCTGATGTCATCACCCTCGCACATTTGTCATATGTTTACAAAAAACGATGTTAACACTTTCTCATTCTTAATATATGTTATATTTAGGGTCGATATGTGTTGAATTTACTTTAAAATAGCAGATCACTGTGACCGGATATAGTTTTTTCGGCTTAGTGAACGTGTGTCTCTTCCTCCGCTGCTCCTCCGTGCAGAGAGTTTGCAGCGGTGTGTGTCAGCAACTTGCGTCTAACTCTCCCCCCCCCCCCCCCCCCCGTCGCACCTTCTAACAGAGCCCCCCCACATATCAAATCCCAATTTAACCCCTGGCCTCTGGAGCAGAAATGAGAGAGTTTTAAAAATGTTTACGTTTTGGTAAGTTTTTAGGGAAATGTTGTAATATTGCAACGTTGGCCTTAGGTGGGAGCAGAATTTCTGTATTTCTACTCACATTGTCTGAATAAATATATTGAACAACTAAGGGTTAATTTGCAGGATTGATTGCTTACTTAGCCCTATATCAGTATATAGCATGAATAATAATCACACATCACTCATATTTGTTATGAATAATCATTTATCATTTATTAAATAGTAAGTCGCTTTGGATAAAAGCGTCAGCTAAATGCAATTTATGAAAGCCTCACTCAGGATTTTTTTACCAAGTGTTTTTATTGCTCTTGGGGAATTAAAAACAAGATTTTTACTTTAGTTTTTTATATAATATCTGCATTTTCTCTTGTGAAAAACTAAGTCTTAGTTTGGCCATAGTTATTTAATATATAAAGACTATATATTATTGAATTACAAGATTAGATATACTTCATTTGATCTAAAATATTGATGCTCCATCTGTAGAAATTAAAGGCATAAAAAGACAGAAATTTATAATTCTTTCTTTAATAGAAATGTTTCTTCTGCCCGTAAAGTGTCCAAACCAGGCTTGTCTTGCATCGCATTTTTAAAACATAGTCATTGTCCATGCCGGTTTCAGTTGGATTATTTGTCACAGTTGCTCCGATCAGATCGGTCTGCTCCATTTTGTAGATTATTTACGACTTTTGAATCCACATAAACACATCGGAAAAATCTGGCTTACTTTGAGCATGTGTTTTAAACAGTTTAATCCCTTTGTGAATTGTTTCCACTTGCGCCGTTCTTTAATTTCTTCATACAGCGGGAATCCAAATGAATTAATCCTGAGTCCAATAACCATCAAAGTCACTCCAATAGTGCTCCTTAATTACGCTTTCATCCTCCTTTAGCAAAATACTTCACATTCATCCAGTTTGTGACAGTAGTTGTAGCATTTTGAGACTTTTAAACTTTAATTACCGCTGTTGCGCCCCCCCCCCCCCCCCCCATATGATATTATGAATACTGTGGGCCCACATACCTTAGTGTGATTATAAGTGCATGTGAGTGAATATTGGCATGCAAATTCGTTTTTATACGTCCTATTCATTGTCTCAATGCGCTCATACATCTTAAGAAAGTTATGTTATGTTAAGAATGTTTTTAGAGACATTATCCTACCTTTCAGAAGAACATTCTGGGAACCAAAATAAAACGTCCCGCTGAAAACATTTTAAGAACAGTAGGGCATAATGTTCTAACAATGTTATCAAAAACATCTTAAGAAGGTTATCAAAAACATCTTAAGAAGGTTATCACCAAACATTTTAAGAATGTTTTTAGAGAACGTTATCCTACCTTTCAGAAGATAATTCTGGGAACCAAAATAAAACGTCCTGCTGAAAACGTTTTAAGAACAGTAGGGCATAATGTTCCAACAATGTTATCAAAAACATCTTAAGAAGGTTATCAAAAACATCTTAAGAAGGTTATCACCAAACATTTCAAGAATGTTTTTAAAGAACGTTATCCTACCTTTCAGAAGAACATTCTGGGAACCAAACTAAAACGTCCCGCTGAAAACATTCCTAGAACAATGAATGGTAACATTCTCAGAATGTTTTGAGAACCAAAAATGTCTAGCTGGGAACTCACACATGCCACCTCAAACATGCAATATCTGCTTACAGTTTATCATGAATTACGTGCTTGTTTGTTTTTTTCAAAAGGAAAATATAGTGACATCAGATTTTTTTAAAACATCCTTTTCAAACAAATGCAACAAGCTTGTTTTTTAAAGCACTCTAGAAATAAATCTGACGTTGACCATGGCCGTGTTAATATTTGCCATCACAGGAACGTTTTATAAAAAAAGAATAACATCCTGAAAACATTTTCAGAATGTTTCTTGGAGAATGTTCTTCATTTGTTATCATGTGACATTGAGGGAACGTTTTATAAAGAACATCTTTAATGTGTTACCCCAACAACGTCCAAAACACATCCTTAGAATGTTGCAGGCAAAACGTTCCACCTTTGTTAACATATCACATATCACACGTTTTATAAAAAAACTTTCTGTCATCTCAGGCCTTAATAACATCCTCAAAACATCCTCTGAATGTTGCAGTTAAAACGTTATGTCTTAGTTAACCTTAAACCTTATAGGAACATTATTTGAAATAATAAACATCCTAAAAAGGTTCTTTGAACATCAGATTAAAACGTTTCTTTAAAACATTATTAGAACCTGTAGGTAATGTTAGCCAAAGTTGTGAGAACGTTCCCCGCTAGCTGGGTTGTCTCTATTTTTGTTTACATTGTTTCAGTGTTGGAGAACACAGCTGTGATAGCCATAAAATATTATAGCCAAAAGCACAATAACTTATTTCACCGGTACAACAATATAATTTACGCACAATAAATCGCAAAAGCCTATTAACAGACTTTAAAACTTGCTTTCACCATCTCAAACGGATGTACATGTTTAGAATACCTTCACTGCTTTACCTTGCTGTCAGAAAGCTATTTCCTTCTTTCTTTGCCAATTTACCGAGGCAGCAGCAACTGTGTGTTCTGCGAAGGCAAAATTATTGTTTTTGGATAAGGAGTCTGGCGGTGTTGCAGAGACAATAATTGGCTTTAATGACTTTAGCTCCTTTTTACAAAAGGGTTGCATGATGGCAAGGTAGAGTAGGTATGTTCTAAAGATACTTTACACTAAAACTGATATGGGTTATTTTAGGAGGTCCTTTAAAACGATAAAACAAAATAAACAAATGTAATGGAAGAGTCTTTATTTCTGCCAGTCTTATTTCTTCAACTTCAAAAGAGGCTAACATGACGCTTAAAAATATCGAGTTAGTGAAAAAAAGCTGTTTCCTTAAAGGCAGTCTTTTTAGCATTAAGATAATGATGAGTGTGATCAGTAAAATGTTTAAATCCCTCATTTAAGATTGTTTTCTTTTGAATCGTGATTATGCTCTATAATTGCTGGCACTCATTATCCTGACAAAGGTTAACTGAGTCGAATGCTTTAACTTGTCAATCATATTCCCTTCATAGCTATACGTTGAATGGTCATGTGGTACACCCAGCTGCATTTCTAATGGCTCACAAAGGGGTGGGAAATAAATGTCATGTCTCTCACTCAACTGCTCACTTCAAGGCACTGCACTCTTGATGTTTTGGTTTTTTGTTGATCTAAAGAAAGAGATATATAAGATGATCCCAGAGGCGAGAGCTGCTTCCACAGTGAATGCCACATTTGTTCGTCCTGCTAAGTTTTATCTCAGCGGGTTTTCCAACATGCCTCATGTTAAGTATTACTATGTGTTCCTGTGTTTTGTCTACATTGTGACTGTTCTTGGGAATGGCATTCTTCTCTCAGTTATTTACTATGTCAAGACTCTGCATACTCCCAAATACATGGTTGTGTTTTACCTGGCTTTGACAGATATGTGTGGGAGCACAGCTCTCATCCCAAAGGTCTTAGATACTTTTTTGTTTGAAAGGAGATACATTGTCTATGAAGCTTGCCTAAGTTATATGTTCTTTGTTTTATTCTTTTTATCTGTACAGTCATGGACACTTATCACAATGGCATATGACAGATTTATAGCAATTTGCTTCCCTTTAAGGTACCGCAGTATTGTGACGACCCCGTCTATCGCTGCATTGTTGCTGTTTTCGTGGGTTACTTTATTTAGTTTAGTAGGATTTACTGTTGGAAATATTGATAACCTCTCCTTCTGTGACTCTTTGTTGGTAAACAGCTTTTTCTGTGATCATTCACCAGTATATCGTCTGTCCTGCAATGACTCGTCTATAAATAACATAATGCAGGGTTCTTACGGTCATTAAAAACCTGGAAAAGTCATGGAAATTCAAAATGCTAATTCCAGGCCCTGGAAAAGTTTTGGAAAACAATATTTTTCCCAAAGTCATGGAAATGTAACTAAAGTTGCATCAAATATAATTTATATTTTACCTAATCGCCGAAATAGTAATACTATAATGATAATAAATACTGTATCGTATAGTAATGAAACGTAAACTGGCATTTAACTGTCGAGGTATTTTGCTGGTGAGAGATTTTTACAACCACGCCCTCGAGTCGACAGTTGCTTTAGCCTGTAGCAGCCTGTAGGAGCTAGTAAGCCTACTATTTGATTTGTTTTAGATAGGCACAACATGTTTCATATGCAGACCTTATTTTCCTGTTCCATGTTAAAATAAACCATTTTCAGTGGTACCGCTGAGAAAGAGTAATTTTTTTGGTCATGGAAAATTAGGTAAAGGTCATGGAGAAGTCATGGAAAAGTAATTGAAAATCATTGGTGAAAAAGTGTATGAACCCTGATAATGGCATATGTAGCTCTCATTATAATCCTCTGTATTCCTCTTATATTGATAACTTTATCGTATGTTGGCATTTCAATAGCACTAGGCAGGATTGCATCAGGAGAGGAACGACTCAAAGCCTCTGAAACTTGTACCTCTCACATGATTCTTGTGGCAATTCCTACCAATTATTGGCACCAACATAGCATCAGTAGTCTCTTACATAAACCCTAATGTCAGAATGATAAACACATCTTTGACAAACACCATGCCAGCTTTGCTCAATCCTATTGTATACTCTTTAAAGACGGAGGAAATTCTGATGGCTATCAAGAAGCTTGTCAAAAGAAATAGGATTAGCTTCAGTGCCAAAAAAAGGTTGAAATCTTAAACACTGCTTGCTATTTAACATGAAAAGGTTGCTTGATATATGACTACAGTGGCAATATTGTATAGTATCAAAAGGAAATGTCAGTATCTTATGAATTATTGCTGTGCTTATTAAACATGGTACATCATTTTGTTAACATCGGTTTTGCCTGATTGAATTGACACGTTTTTTCTGTGTTAGTAGTTAGTTAGTAGGTTTTAGTAAGTTGGGGTTCTCAAACAGAGATACAGTATTTAGGTCAGTTTACACATACATTATTATAGACATGAGTTTTAAGTAGTCTCTACTAAATATTATTCATTTATAGTCTCAATTGTGAGGATTTTATGTTTTACTTTTCATATATCATAATAAACCAATTATATTTGGGTTTTGAACTGTTGTTTTAATAAACTTCCAAAATTGAATGCATCTGCAAATAATTGGGAGAAGATCATGATAGTATATCCAGGTTGCTGAAACCATGATGTGGTGTACATGTGTGACTCACAAAGGGGATACTCCACAGGGATATTTGTCCCAATTAATGAGCACACAAAGATGCAGTACATTATGTTTTGTTTAGTTAAGTTTTAACATTTTGTTATTAGGTTGGAGCTTTTATACAGACACATTTGTTGAGTTTTAGTATCCCAAATGTGTCTCGTATTTTGATTTAAATCAGTTACAGTAAGTAGTCGATTCATGACCTTATGATTGACAGAAATTATATATCTTGTACCTGCTAATAAATTGTGACATCTCAAAAACAAGGTTTACAGATCCAAGACAGAGTTTTATTATTTAACACTTACGCCTAAAATCTGAGATTCATGAACTAAGTGTATCTTTAAAGTTGAATAAAATCTGATCTGTCAGTCAAGATTTAAATTCACATGTTAGCATGCCGTTTTAGGAACAAACATAGTAGACCATATTGGGCTGTGACACAACTATATGTGACATTAATAACTGAGTGTGATTCATGGTATGGCTTGCACTGCACACACAAACCCACAAGAGGGCAGGCACTCGTCATATTACTACTTCACTACTCTTCACTATTTCGTTCATCATTCTAAAGTACAGTGTAAGCTATTGTTGTAATGTATCATAATTTGATCTTTGTCAGAGAGTCTTTCATAAAAACAGTATCTTTAACCACATTTCAGAAGAGGACATAGTATATGATGGAACATTATCCATTATTAATATAGTGTACATTTTCTATGTATTATCCCTTTCTCTAGGCAGGTTGTGAAAATGTCTCTATGTATTCAAGTAGAATATACATGTTTATTTAAACACCACATCTGTTCAAATATTACAATGCTTTAGGTTCATATATACAGTAGAAAAGACCTCAGATAATCTAACTTCTAGTATACAGTAGATCTGTTCTTTTATACCATATTAAAAACCTCAAGTTTTAAATTGATCCAATAACCAACCTATCATGTGGGAACATGGTTTTGTGAAACTTTTAATTTCTCCAACCACTTCCAGAGGTCTTTTTGATCTCTTTGGTTTAAAAATATATGGTAGGATTGTGGCAGATCAAATTATCTTTTTTAACATCTACCTGATCTTTGTTGAATTAAACAAAAATAGGTAAAATGCATATATATGCATAATGAACTCATGCTGTTGCATTTTACTAAATAAGTACACTTTGATAAAACTTAACACATATGTTGCTTTTGATCTGTACCCCTCTGTAATAATGAGGTCACTTGTAATCATAGTTATATATGAGTGTAGCTTTCAACCTGCACTAACCCTACACACCAACAACCCAACTGTAACCTGAACCTTTGAAACTAAGTAATAACTAATAAGGACTTTGAGTTTGCCTGAAACACTGAAACTGTTAAAATCAGAAAATATTGCCAGGTTAAGTCCTATGATACAATTAACATTACTAATTTCAGTACTGCATAAATCAGAGCTCAGTCGGAGAGCATACTATAGCGCCTCAACCTGATGACTCTGACCTCTTATGACAACATGGCAGACAAAATGTATCCTGCCTTAACGTTAGTTAAGGCCGATATTGACTATTAGCCTGTAAATACTATATTTACTGTGGCCGATATTGACTATTAGGCCACAGTAAACTAGCATTAACATTTTGTTAATTTTGCTGAAAGGAAGAGAATGAACAGTGCAGCATGACAACTTGCATATTGCAGAGTTTATTCCCTGAGGATGGATTAGCCGATCAACAGGCCGCAGTTAGCCTTAAATAAAATGTGAATGTTTTTTAATTTGCGATGACATTACCAGAGTGGTAGTTAATCGCTTTACCAACACGGTTCACTTTTTTAACTTCATCCTAATTAATCTCAGTTGCACCTATAAAGAATGAACAATTCAAACTTGAGGAAATAGGTTATGTCACTTTCATTTCTATTAAAGTGCATTGTCTTTACAAAGGGCAACAAGAAATATGTGTAGTTTTAGCTCAAATTTGTATTAGTAACAGTACAGGTGAAAATGAATTGCTGCAGCTATTGATTGAATTTATTTTTGTTCAAATAAACGGACCACAAAGGTATTAAAAGTGCAGACATTTATTGCATGAAATATAAATAAGTAAATGAAAAACATTTAAAGTAAAATTAGTATATATTTTAGGTTGGGCCCAATGTAAAAACTCTTTCAAAGTATTTGTATTGAATAATATTGAACTTATATTTTGATAACTAAAGTGTTAGAAAGGTAGAGGATAGATTGTTAAAGCTGGAAATGAAAATAATGTGTGTCAATTTAATTGTTCTCTGGTGCCAACGATCTCAGGTATTAAAATTGAGTCCCAGGTCTAGAATTGATAAGCTTCTACCGAGACATATGATCACCTTTCTAAGGTTTGCTCTTACATTGGTCTGTGCCAATTTTACTTTTTCTTACAAATGCCACAACTCTGATTTTGATCTCTTTGGACAAAACAACTTTCAGAAAGTTTGGAAACAACATGCATTATGCTGACTTTCTTAAACAGGCCATGGTTTTAATGAGCCTAATTTGGGATGCCGTCACCAGAGAGTTTCTGTTAATGACCTTGTCTTTAACAAGCAAACCTTTTACTGTGCAAACTTCAAACTAATTCATCTGAGTTGTTATTGTTACTGATGCGAATAAACACAATACAGCATGGAGGTTAAAGGTCCCATTATTCTATGGTGTTTTTAGAAAGCGGTCCTTTCATTTAAAGTACCTTTTTCCAGGCCAGCAGCCGGGTCGGTTGTCTTGGTCTTTCTACACTGCCTAAAAGTCTTAGGCTGCTTTCTCCTATTAACACTAAAACTCCAGATATAATGTGCCACCTTTGGTCTTGTTGTTGGCCTTGTCATGCTCCTTTGGCATGTGTGACTAGAACTGCGATGCTACGGTTGAATTCAAATCAATTCAATAACAGACTTTATTTCACTAAATGTTTTACTTGAAACATTGTGTTCTACAGCGTGTGCAAGTGAATAATATGTAATTGTAAAGAGGGTATTAAGAGCTCATTCATTCAATTGTGTTTTGGAGTTTATATATACTTGTTCTCTGAAACATTAGCTATTATTTTAGCAGTAAAGTGTTTAGTGTGATAGAGTATATTCAAACCTGGTAATTTGGTGATATGGTACAAGCCAGTTTTCATGGTGAAGGTTCACCGGGGTTACTCAATCTGTGATGTAGTCAGTGAATCTCACATTCATCTGCACGGTCATTTTATTTTCTTCATCCTTAAACAAGGTCTGTAATCGGGTTTTCTTTCAGCACGTTAGATTTACTAGATTCCCAAAACAACAAAGTTAAACCAAGATTCAATGATTTGAACAGTAATGAAGTACACAGGTACATGAAGTCCACATGTTTAATGCTTGTTACATTTTTTACAGAGCTTTAAATCATGTATACGTGGAAGATGAATTACTTCACTTTTAAACTTCATTGTTGGTATAAATAAACACAATAAAACAATATTCACTTTTATCAGTCACAAATAAGATATCTAAGCAGTTGAAGTACATTCAAATTTGAGAAAGTTCTGACAATGAATAATTACAAACAACATCGACACCAAATCTTTAAAGGTTCTCAAAATATATAGCACATCACAACACAAAACCTGCACACAAAACAAAACAATGATCCTTTAGAGTTGAGCCTTTTGAGATTCATTTGTGTGGCTCATGCATGCTGTCTGCCCATAACCTGCTTTAGTGATGAGGAGCAACAGAGCCTCAAGGCTGCTGCTCTATAGTCATGCTCTTTTCCGTTAATTTCTTTAACACTATGAAATGCACACAGTAGATTTAACGAAAAAGTGTTATGATAGAAATGTCGAATTTTACTTAAGTACAGATTAGCTAAGTAATATTAGAGATACCAGCAACAGCATACTAGTAAATCAATTGACTTACTACTGCCAATTGGTCCTTTTTTTAAATTTAGTGCTGTGTTTTATCAACCCTAAAAGGATTGTTTTTTGGGGGGTTTGTTGGTTATGTGCCAATTGTATTTCTTCTTACCAATGCCAGAACTCTGATTTTGATCTCTTTGGTTTTCAAAGAATATATGAGAGGATTGACACAAGGTGGGATGCAAGAGGCCAACGACAGACTCAGCACACGCTGGTCTGGGTCGATCAGACCCAGATAGAACCCAACGCAAAATATGGTAAGAATAGGAATGTAAAACACAGCAACAAGGATGATATGCTCCACACAAGTGGCCAGAGCTTTCACCCGACTGTCTAAAGATTTCATCATGAATACAGTCGCCAGAATGCTCACATAAGACAGGAGAATAAAAATAAAGGGTACTGCAAGTATCAAAATGGTAAGGAAAGACGCTGAAGCCCACTGCATTGAATAATCATTACAGGCGAGTCTGAACACAGGCGCATAGTCACAGAAATAGCTAAACACTATTACAGAATTACAAAAAGACAGTCGAGACATTATACCTGTTGTAAATAATATTACTCCCAGACCAAAAAACCAAGTCACGCCGACAATCCATGACAT